GCCCGAGGCCTCGCTGCTGGCTCTGCTCTCTGCCTCGGGGCAGTGGGGCTGTACCTGGCACCTCTTGCCCTGCTTGGGGGGAAGTAAGGGGGGCTGGGTTGGAGCTGCTAGTGCTGCCAAGCAGGGCCCTGCAGAGCCATGTCCTGCCTCCCGCTAGACCAGTTTGTCCGTGATGTGGCGCTGAGCCCTCAGACCTCAGTGCAGCTGTGCTCTGTCCCAGTCGAACTCCTTAGCTTTGTCTTCACGCGTCGTTTCCAGGTTCACCCAGACAAGAACGAACACCCCAGAGCAGAGGAGGCCTTCAAGGTCCTGCGAGCAGCCTGGGACATCGTCAGCAACCCGGAGAAGAGGAAAGAGTATGAGATGTGAGTGGGCTGAGCTGGGGGAGGCACGAGGGGGTCTGGGGAGAGCAGCAGGGAAGAGGATGGGTAACATGGCCACTTCAGTGTGCTGTCCTCGCGCTCCCAGGGGCTGCCCACGCAGGCTCCTTTGCAAGGCTCTGTCCCCAGCAACTTTCTCCCCTCTTGTGGCCGCAGCAAGCGGATGGCAGAGAGCGAGCTGACGAGGTCCATGAGCGAGTTCCTCACCAGGCTGCAGGACGACCTGAAGGAGGCCATGAACACCATGATGTGCAGCAAGTGCCAGGGGAAGCACAAGTAGGTCCTGGGGCTCCAGGTCTGGCTGCATATGCGCGGTCAACAGCCTGCTGGGGGTGTGTGCTGCGCTGACTGTCCCTATCTGAGAGACCACAGGGGAAGTGAAGGACCTGGGCAAACCTGGCTGTCCCTGCTCCCCATGAAGTTTGGGGGACCCAAAGCAACCTGGGAGCAAAGAGTTGCTACAAGAGAGACAATTTGGGTCTCTGTGGAGCAGGCCGAACCAAAGCGCTGCTCGATTTCTCCCCTTTCCTCAAGGGGAGGGGAAGCAAAGCCAGCCTGGCTGCTCACAGGGTTTGAAATGTTTCCTGTTGCTGCAGGAGGTTTGAGATGGACCGTGACCCGCTCAGTGCCCGCTACTGTGCTGAATGCAACAAGTTGCACCCTGCAGAGGAGGGCGACTTCTGGGCTGAGTCCAGCATGCTGGGGCTGAAGATCACCTACTTTGCCATGATGGATGGGAAGATCTACGACATCACGGGTGGGTACTGATGCCGCGGCAGCTCCCAGAGCACCCGCAGAGCTGCAGAATTAATGGTGCTGCCTGTGCAGCCTCCTCTGCTTCTAGCAGAGGCTGCAGTCAGCACTTTGCCCTCGCCGCTGGGCAGGGGAGCAAACGGCAGAGGTTTGCCTCTTCCGGGCCTAGCTGACAGGCTGTGCGTCTCTCTGCAGAGTGGGCCGGTTGTCAGCGGGTCGGCATCTCTCCGGACACCCATCGCGTCCCGTATCACATATCATTTGGGTCGAGGAGCTCTGGGCCAGGCGGACGTCAGAGGTCAGTCCTGGAGCCGCTCGGGCTCCCTCCGCGCTTTGCCGTTTGCGGAGTCGTGAGATGGGAAACGGCACCAGTGCCCAACTCCTGCTGGGGTACCCCGAGGGCCCGGCTGCGATCCCAGGGAGAGCGGAGTTGAGGGGGGGTCTGGGCTGTGCGTAACCCTGCTGCTCCCTCGCTGAGCCCAACCTTCCTCTGGGGGATGAGGGCCTTGGAGCCCAGGAGCTGCAGCTTTAGCCGGGAGTTCCCCCGAGCCTCCTCTTGGTGCTGGTGTTTTGTGCTCTGCTGCCCAACGCCTGCTTTCCTCCCCGCAGGGCCACCTCCAAAGGCAGCCCCACCTCTGCTGCGGACCTGCAAGACTTCTTCAATCGCGTGTTTCAGGGGACCCCAGGACCAACGCCTGGGAGGGGCTTCTCCCCC